ATCGGGTGCCACGTTCCGGTACCAGGATAGTATATGGATCGGGTGTCACGTTCTGATACCAGGATAGTATATGGATCGGGTGTCACGTTCCGACACCAGGATAGTATATGGATCGAGTGCCATGTTCCGGTACCAGGGTAGAATATGGATCGGGTGTCACGTTCCGACACAGGATAGAACGAGGATCAGAGTGTCACGTTCCGACACCAGGATAGTATATTGAGGAGCGGAGTGTCACGTACCGACACGAGGGAAAAAAAAGATAATGAATCTTGAAAGATGATAATATATTCAAATCTAATGAACATAATTCCCAAATGAGTATGATGAGGAGGCGTGAGTCCTCATTAATGTGCTTTGTGTTGTAACCAAGGGTTATGGTAACTGTAAATATTGCATGCTAAGGGTATTAGTTGATTTTATGATATTGCTTAATATATATTGTTTTCTATTTTGAGTTTGCCGATTATATCTACTCAGTACCCGTGTTTTGTACTGACCCCTATTTTTATTGTTTTCTTCTTTGTTATTTGTGGAGTGCAGCAAACGTGTCATCGTCTTCAACTCAATCGCAACTCTAGCAAGTCTTCGTCACACCGGATCTTCAGGGTGAGCTAATGCTTCTACCTTGGACTGGATCTTCTTCTTCATGTCTTGATGCCTTGAAGTTCCGGCATGGACTAGCTTTTTATGTATTTTAGCTTCTAGATACTCTTAGCTTTAGTAATTTGAAGTAGATGTTCTTGTGATGATGACTTCCAGATTTTGGGGATAATAGTAGTTATTGATTTTATTAATGAGTTTAAGTCTTCCGCATTACTTTATGTTGATATTATATTGAAATGTTAAGGTTTAGATTGGTTGGTTTCGCTCACATAAGAGGGTAAGTGCGGGTGCCAGTCGCGGCCCGGATTTGGGTCGTGACGAACTTGGTATCTATTGTAACGACCTATTTAGTCGTTTTGAGCAGCAGACTTCAATTCTGGAAAAACTGGCAGAAGCGACGGACCCCACGACGGACCGTCATGGGCACGACGGACCGTCGCAGGGTCTCGTTTCAAAACACTTAGAAAATCTGAAATTGGATACTGAAAATCGACTCTCTGAACATCGTAACGAAATGGCAGGACGGATCGTCACAGGTGTGACGGACCGTCATAGTCCCTTCAGAGAAATTGAGTCTCTGAAGTCTGTGACGGAGCAGCAGGACGGACCGTCGCAGGCGCGACGGGCCGTCACAGACTGCGTAATCCCAGTCTTGGGTCGGATTTCTTTATACGTTTTAAGGGACGTTTTGGACAATTGCTACTTTAATTATAAAGTTAGAGGGTTAATGTTAATAAATCTAATTACTTGGGGGTTAAAAGAGGTAACCTTAAGTTAATTAGTGGGTTATTATTGCCATCTTTATTCTTAATTATATACTAATTAGGGTAAAAGAAAGAGGGTTTCAATAAAGAAAATAGAAAGAACAAAGATAGCGAAGGAGAATCGATAGAGAGAGACGAACGAAGAGGAAAAACACAAGGCTTTGGGAAATTCTTGCTTGATCACTAGTCTTCGGTGGAGGTAGGTTATGGTTTTTATGCTATTCGTAGTAAACTCTTAATAGCGAATGATATGTATTGGTAGTTTTGTAAATCCTTCTATATGCTTAATTGTATGCTTGCATGAATGTGATTATGTAATTGTGATATAATAAGCATGATGAAGCTATTGAATCCTAAATTTTGAAAAGAAACCCTAATCTACTTTGTTAATGATGATGCCTTGGTATAAAAGAAGGCTTGATGAACGAAAGTAGTGAGATTAGGGGATCGGGTGCCACGTTCCGGTACCAGGATAGTATATGAGGATCGGGTGCCACGTTCTGGTACCAGGATAGTATATGGATCGGGTGTCACGTTTTGGTACCAGGATAGTATATGAGGATCGGAGTGTCACGTTCCGACACCAGGATAGTATATGGATCGGATGCCACGTTCCGGTACCAGGATAGAATATGGATAGGGTGTCACGTTCCGACACCAGGATAGAACGAGGATCGGAGTGTCACGTACCGACACGAGGGAAAAAAAGATAATGTGTCTTGAAAGATGTTAATATATTCAATCTAATGAACCGAATTCCCAAATAAGTATGATGAGGAGGCGTGAGTCCTCATTGATGTGCTTGGTGTTGTAACCAAGGGTTATGGTAACTGTAAATGCTGCATGCTAAGGATATTAGTTGATTTTATGATATTGCTTAATATATACTGTTTTCTATTTTGAGTTGGCCGATGATACCTACTCGGTACCAGTGTTTTTACTGACCCCCTACTTTTATGTTTTCTTCTTTGTTATTTGTGGAGTGCAGCAAACGTGCCGTCGTCTTTGTAATTCTAGCCAGTCTTCGTCATTCCGGATATCAGGGTGAGCTAATGCTTCTAGCTTGGACTGGATCTTCTTCTTCATGTCTTGATGCCTTGAAGTTCCGGCATGGACTAGCTTTATGCATTTTTAGCTTCTTAGAAACTCTTAGATTTAGTAATTTTAAGTAGATGTTGTTGTGATGATGACTTCCAGATTTTGGGGAATAATAGATGTTGAATTTTAAAAGTTAATGGATTGATTTTATTTAATGAGTTTGAGTCTTCCGCACTATTTACTGTAGATATTATATTGAAATGTTAGAATTCAAATTGATTGGTTCGCTCACATTGGAGGGTAAGTGTCGGTGCCAGTCACGGCCCGGATTTGGGTCGTGACAACACCCTTAATGAAATTCCTGGCTACGCCACTAAATCTACTTAAAAATGAAACTGAGTAAATTAAAATGAAATAAGTGGTCCTACGTAACTGTACTGAGTGTAATTAATATCAACTGTTAATTATATAATTCTCTAGCTTGTATGGACCTACCGAAAAAAATAGTCATAAAGAATGAAAATAAAGGCATAAAAATAAGAGGATAAATACATGGTGGAGACAATCGACAAAGGAAGAAGCTAAAATATTCATAAATAACATAAAACGACACTACAAAAGTAACACATTTGGAACACAAAAAAAACACTTCTTTAAATACTAGGCAGGGATGGCCCGTGCAAGCACGGGGCCAATGTTAAAAAGATTATTGTGTGTCTAATACCACACATAGATATATATACGCAGATGGATATGCAAATTAACAAACAAGAGGTCCACATCCACGTAGAAGAGTGACCACATTAGCAGTAATGATAGTTGTTTTATGGATAATTTAGAACTAATCCATTTGGAAAGAACATTCCAAAATATGTGAATAAATGACACTCAATTAGATCAAAACTAAAACATTTAAGTTGTGATAGCTCATTGATTGTGCAAGATGATAGCAAATAGAGTCACTAATGTCTAAAGTACACTAATATTTTTACAATTTGATTACCAAAGGATGAATTTTTTTTTATAATATCCAGTTGCAGTTCATACCCTATATCTTTGTACACATGATAGAAAAATAAAAAATCCAGAGAGTTCGTTGACAACATTCCCAGCTCTCGCTTTGGTTGCGAGAGAAAGGAAGGGGCTGATCTGATAGTGTGTACTGGTGTCGATGCAATACTCCTTGCTTTCTGAGCTGAAAAGAGAGTGTGAAATAAATGAAACCAATTGAATAAAATATACGTATATTGGCCTAATCGCCATGTTTTCTAGATGGTGAAATAAATAAGATACAGAGCTTTAGGAGACAGAGATTTAGAGCTCATAATCTAGTGCCAACACCTAGATTATGTAACTTTGATTTATTTAGAAGATTTTACTGTCTACAAAACTCCAAACATTAGAAATAATGACAAGTAGTTCACTAAATGCTAATTTGTTAATCTCAAAATGAATTATTGTTCTTGATCTTACCTTTCTAGTCACCTTTCAACAATGATATATTCACGATGAGGTTATGATTCCACCATAACTTCTCCATGAATTAGTGAAATGATGAAATATGAAAGGATTATAATTATTCTAGAGTCCTCCCTTATATTAGTTGTAGCAAAGATCAGACTCGATCTAACTTCTCAATCAATTGTGACTACTTCGTGTATGCGCCTATTTCTCGTAGCTGTGCTCCTATCCCAAAACCATTCACCCTCATATGATCCTATTGTGTCTGTAAGTTCATTTTTCTTTTTGTATTTATAATTTTACAGTTATACTAAGTACTTACATTTAAGGATGCAAAAATACATTCTCTTATATCTACACGTGGATGAAACACAACATACAAATAGTATACAATACCAACCGTAATTTTCTTGAGTAGTCCCCATAGCTATAGACTATAGTCATATTTCCTCGCTTTAATTCAACTTAATTGTGACCTTACACCAAATGATTTCTAAATAATAAATTTTATGTTGTTTAACTGGTAATGATGCTTATACAATTCAACAAGTACTTGGCTAGCGATGGAATGAGAAAAAAAACGTTGGTTGTGGCGATTGAAGAACTATATAAAGATGCAGGTGCGCCTGTTAACATGCCCAAATTTTATATGAAATGTTGTTTTTGCCCTTCATATATCTTTTATTTGTTTTGATTTTTCCTAATTTTGCTTTTGATTATTATATAAAAAGCTCAAGAATCTATGAGAACTTGCAAGATAGGTGATAGGGCTAGGTCAAAGCCTTATGGTGAAAGATATTTGGTGCCATGACATGTTTGTTGTCAATCAAATACTCAAAGTGGATCTGAAAACTATGGTTTGCTAATATTCTCTACTGAACTCAATGAAGATAGAGAAAACTAATACACAACGAAAAGGGAGATCAAAATAAAAGGCAGAAGAAAACATTAACGGACATACCCGTAGATGACATTCTCGTAGAGTAGTTGAATATCCTTAACTTCACACTGCAAATGAAAATAATTTCATAACTTTAATGCAATGATATGAAGAAACTCCAAGCTAAACCCATAACAATGAAAGATTAAAATTTATAAACCTAGAAAGTTGATTCACTTGGAATCAAATCCTTAGTAAAAAAAATTTCAGTTAATTACACCATAAACCCATATGAACAAAAAAAAATTAAAAAGAATAACGAAGAAAGAGGAACAAATTAATTACTGCAAGTGATAAAAAAAGCTTTGAAATGCAACATGGACGAATAAAAATATCAATTAACAAAACAAGAATAGAGATGCAACTACGAAATTTTTTCGCCTTTCAGTTGTTAATATGATCTCTTATTTTAAAGATGGCAATAGAGACCAAAAAAAATTATTGACCACACCTTTCACTACTTCTCAAATTGCTCTACTACTGGTGTGAAAAGGCACAATGAGTTCATCTGCATCCTGCAAATCAACTATCAAGAACAAAGCACACCACCAAAAATCAAAACATAACAATAAAAACAGAAATTCTAGCACTGAATAATTCAACATGTTCAGTTTAAATAATTCATAGCAAAATCGACCAACTATATGAAGTTGACATGGAATTAAATTAAATCCTAATGCAACTATGCTAGTACCGAACAACAACAAAAAAGTACTATACTATATAAGCTTATGTTTTATTAGCAGCAAACATTGAAGCTAAGACTATGTTGAAGTCTATTTGCTTGGCATCTCTACTTCACTCTCCAAAACTCCAAGACTCCATTAACGGCAATTCAAAAATCCACAACACTACCCTACTCCATTCGAGCTCAAACAAGTTGTTGTCTTTCTCATCAAAACCAATAAATCTCTCACTACTCTTACTTTATTGGTTATCTTATATCTTGTTCAATATTCACCTAATGAATATAATTTGTGTCTCAGAATTCTAGGTGCGTTGTTGAAAGTGTAGAGTTGGGTGAATCTGTTGTTGTACCTGAGATGACGGTAGACACTACTCCATTAGTCTCTGTGAACGTGATGTCCAATGAGAGTATTAAGGAAGAAGAAAACAATGGCATGATCCATGCTCAATCTGTTGATGCTGTTGAAGAAGAAAACAATGGTCTGTCCCCTCAATCATCAAATGAACTCTAAAGCAAAATGCTGTATCTGATGAAAAAATTGGATTATCAGACTCCAATGAAACAGGAATAGTTTCTCCATCCAACCCCAACGAATTACTGAATGTGCCCCAAGTAACAGTTCCAAGAGAAACTGAGGATAAAGTTTATTTTGCTTGTCCTAAGGTACATTTGCTTTTTTTGTGTGTTTTATTTGGTAGCAACTTTTTGATAGAATTGTTAGTTGTACTTGAGAATAGTCTTGTTATACTAATATTCGGTTAATTTTGCAGCACTGCAATGCTGAATGCAGTTTTTCTTAGTTATTAAGAGATGAATTATTGGAAAATGTGGAGGAGCTTAAGTTAGCAATTCTAAGTCTTAAAGAAGATATTGAGAAGACACTGGATAAGCTGGAATCTATTTCATATTGAACAAGCTGATGATCAAGATGTTAATTTTCATGTTCTAGTCTTATTTTGCTGTTAATCTTATTGTTATCCTTCTGTTAAGTTTCCTTTAACACATTCATTTCAGAGTAGGAACAAGTTAAACACCTTGTTGAAAATAGAAAGTCCAAAATATCCTTAATAATAGCAAGAAAGCTCATAGAGGTATCTAATGTAGGACAAAGAGCAAAATCGGAATAAAGGGCGTAAGAAACAATCAACGAACATAACTGTAGTTCAAATTCGTATAAGTAGTTCCAGATCCTTGAATTTGCTAAGAAGACACATCGATAGTTCAAATTCTGGCATAAGTAGTTGTAGATCTTTAAATTTTCATGTTGTAAATGAAAATAATTTCAAAAAGTTAATGCAACGATGTATAAAAAAAACTCAAAGCGAAACCCACAACAGTATACGACTAAAATGAAGAAACCCAAAAAGTTAATTCCAATGGAAAACCAACATATACAAACAGAGGAAGTCCAGAAGAAGTATGATGGAAAAAACAACTAAAATTAAGGAACCCAAAAAGTTAATTTCGACAAATAACCATCTATGAACATATAAGATTTAAAAGAATTATGATGAAGACAGACTAAATTAATTGTTGCATGTAATAAACAAAGCAAAAATCAGTAACAAAACAGAAAAAACACAACCATATAACAAAAACTGAACATCAACACTAAAACCAACTGAAAAAGAAGAAAAAATCATCAATTTTGGGAAAAACAAAGAAGATCACAAAAAAGCCAAAGAAACAATATGAAGAAGCTTACCTCAACAGATTGCTGGAGAAAGGAGAACTTTTGGTGTGCATAAATCGTAGGACACGTAACCCAAAATGGAGTACTAAAAAGACTAAAATACCCTCAAACCTATGAAGCAAAAACATCAATTCAATAAGGGGAAGAAACTCCAAGCCAAAGACTCAAGAACCCAAGAAATTGATTCCGATGAAAACCCCATACATGAATGGAGGAAGTTCAAAAGAATTCTGAGAAAGAAAATTCAAAGCCCAAATTAATTACTGCATGTGACAAAACTCAACAAAAATCTGAAACAGAAATCCAAAATAAAACATGGAAATCATAATCACCCAGCCAAAATTGAACGCATACAGATGAAAATTATTGGGACTTCCAAAACACAAGGAAAATTGGACAACAATAACATGAAAAAAGAAGAAAATTTTCACACACCTAGATCAAATTTGATATATTCACACACCTAAATTTGATTGTCGGACTTCAATTTTATGGAAAAGAAAGATGATAAAAAAAAACTCAATGAAAACATGGAAGAGTCATACCTAGATGAAATGCAAAAGAAGAATCTTGCTATGCACTGAATTGATGAAGACAGACACAAAGTGAGGTGTAAATTAATGGTACATGAGGAAGACACGTAGTTTTAATAGGCAAGTAAAGAGACAGAAATACCCTTGACAGCAATGAAACAGGCATGTTGAACAAGCCTTTTCTAATATAAGAGAAATAAAGGTGCACAAACCCCCTAATAAATCCGCATAAAACAACACTGAAGTAAAATCCTAGAAAACGAAAGAACAACCACAATTCATGTTTGCTGAAAATTCTGATTTCGTTCATTTATTTAAATTGTGTATAATCCTCATTTTAGACGTTTTTCAAGAAACTCAAATAAAAAAATTGTTTTTAATTATCAAGGTCAACATTTTAAATATCTTCGTTGTTTATGTTGTTGAAATATTTGTGAATTTACTATTAATTAGGATATGAGTTGTAATGTTGATGGTATTGATTAGTTTACTATTATTAGCCATTTGATCAATGAAAATTGGAATATGAAAAAAGTAGTTTTAGGATATAAATGTAATGAAATGTATAAAATCGGTAATTACATAGCTCAAACTATTATAGATGTTTTACCAAATTATGGAATTTGAAATAAAGAAATTAGTGTCACCCTAGATAATTCTTCTAATAATACATCTATTGGTGAAATACTAAAATCGACACTTTATCATATTTATATTGATGATTTCCATATTAGGTATTCTGCACACACATATGATTTGATTGTTAGAGATGGTATAATAGTGTAAAATAATGGTTGCATAAAATATGAAACTGAATTTTATTTTATTTTTAAATATCAATTAAAGGCTAGACGTAGAGAATTTAAAAATCTTGTCATGAATTTAAACTCTCCCCTAAAAAAAATATTTTCAAAATTAGTGTTTACTATATCTAATTCTTTATTTGAAATATTTCAAATCGCTTATGAATATAAAATCCTTTGCAAATGATTTACAATGCTCATAGTTCAAATATTGACTACAGACTTGTTAATAATAATTGAAATGACGCAAGACTTTTTATAATTTTTTTATCTAGCTAAAAAAAATATCTTGGCGTTATTATTCAACTGTTTTCCCTTAATCTTGTCAAGAAAGGAAGATCTTGCCTCCACACAAGCTAAAAATCCTCCCTTCTCATTTACTTCTAATCTCATAAGGTCGTTAGCTAGAATCTGAACTTCTCTAGCCAATGGGCGTCTAGAAGCTTGCAAGTGAGATAGACTTCCCATGCTTCCTACCTTTCTACTTAAAGCATCCGCTACAACATTCGCCTTTTCCGGATGATACAAAATAGTGATGTCGTAGTCCTTCAGTAATTCCATCCATCTCCTCTGTCTCAAGTTCAAATCTTTCTGAGTAAAGACATACTGAAGGCTACGATGATCCGTGTAGACCTCACAATTAACCCCATATAAATAGTGTCTCCATTGCTTTAATGCAAACACTACCGCGGCCAATTCCAAATCATGAGTTGGATAGTTACGTTCATGCACTTTTAATTGTCTTGAAGCATAAGCAATCACATTCTTCTCTTGAATTAGCACTGCAGCCAAACCCGAATAGGATGCATCACAATAGACAATGAAGTTCTTACCTTCCACGGGCAAGGTGAGAATTGGTGCAGTAGTCAACAAAGTCTTGAGCTTCTGAATGCTTTCTTCACACTCGTCCGACCATACAAATGGCACATTCTGCTTAGTCAAGTTCGTCAGTTGGGAAGCAATGGAAGAGAATCCTTTGACAAATCGGCGGTAGTAGCTAGCTAACCCAACAAAGCTCCTTATTTATGACACATTAGTAGGTCTTACCAAATTCTTCACTGTCTCAATCTTAGAAGGATCCACCATCACTCCATCCTTAGAAACCACGTGCCCCAAGAAGGACACTGCATCTAGCCAAAACTCACACTTAGAGAACTTGACATAAAGCTTTTTCTCCCTCAACATTTCCAATACCATTCTCAAATGCTCCTTATGTTCCTCCTTCCTGTTTGAGTAAACCAATATATCATAAATGAATACGATCACAAAGAGATCCAAATATGGCTTAAAAATCCCGTTCATCAAGCTCATGAAAGCAGCAGGGGCATTCGTAAGACCAAAAGACATCACTTCAAATTCGTAATGTCCATACCTCGTTCGAAAAGTAGTCTTTGGCACATCCGTTTCCCGTATTTTCAATTGATGATAACCGGATCTCAAGTAAATCTTAGAGAAGACACAAGCACCTTGTAACTGGTCGAACAAGTCATCAATGCGAGGAAGAGGATACTTGTTCTTTATGGTTACCTTGTTCAACTGCCGGTAGTCTATGCACATCTGAAAACTCCCATCCTTCTTCTTTACAAACAAAACCGGAGCACCCCAAGGCAATGCACTTGGTCTAATGAAGCCCTTGCTCAACAACTCTTGAAGTTGGGCTTTTAACTCTCTTCACTCCGCTGGAGCCATTCTATAAGGGGGTATAGAAATGGGGCGAGTACCCGGTTCAAGATCAATACAGAAATCGATATCGCTATCTGGTGGTATACCAGGAAGATCTACAGGGAACACATCTAGAAACTAACGGACCACCAAAACCGACTCAATCGAAGGTACTTGGGTAGTGTCATCCTTGAGATGTGTCAAGAAAGCTAAACACCCTTTACTAACCATTTTCTTATCACGAAGAAATGAGATGATACGCACCGTATTTGAAGTGTAGTCACCCTCCCACACTAATGGATCTGTCCCAGGCTTGGCTAACGTCACCGTTTTAGCATTACAATCCAAGATCGCAAATTGCGGAGAAAGCCAAGTCATACCAAGAATTACATCAAAATCATCCATTTCTAAGATAACCAAATCTACATAAGTGTTTCTCCCCACAAAGTTCACCAAATAAGACCTATATACCTTTTCAACTACCACAGACTCACCCACCGGAGTAGAAACACAAATAGGCATATCAAGTAATTCACAATATAAATTTAGACCATTAGCAAATGAGGAAGATGCATAAGAAAATGTGGATCCAGGATCAAACAATACAGAATCCATGCAATCACAAACCAGAAGATTACCTGTGATGACAGCATCAGATTCCTCCGCTTCAGACCGCCCAGGGAAAGCGTAACAATGGGCCCTATCGTTGTCTGTCCATTGCCCCTACGATGTTGTGATGTAGTGGCTCCAGTTTGCCCATCACCTCGACCATTTTGGTTACCACCATTACTTCGACCACCGCGTCCTCCAGAATGACGACCTCTTCCATAACCACCTCTACCACTAACATTTGGAGGTCTGTAACTCTGTTTTGGACAATACCTCTTAATGTGTCCGATCTCCCCACATCCATAACACTCTCTGGGTTCATGCATAGGTCTCTCAGAGAAGTGTTGACCGGTCTGAGGTGGACCCCCAACTACAGTCTGTAGTGAAGACTGAATTGGTCAGACTGAGTAACCTCCGGAACCTTGTCCTATAGAGTAAGAACCATTAAAATCACCTCCCTTTCGAGACCTTTTTGATGTAGTTGCCATGGTAAAGTCATCTGGCTTCACTCCCTCTAACTCTATTACAAAGTCTACCACTTCATGAAAAGATTTTGCCGTAGCCGCTACCTGTAAGGCTGAAATCCGCAATTCTGACCTCAACCCCTTCACAAAACGACGAATCCGCTCTTGTGGTCTGAAACATAGTTGGGTGGCATACCGGGATAATGCACGAAACTTAGCCTCATATGCAGTAACCGACATCCTACCTTGCTCTAGGCTCAAAAACTCATCCCTTTTCCTATCCCTCAAAGTCCGGGGGATATACTTCTCCATAAACAAGCTAGAGAATGAGGCCCAAGTCATAGGTGGTGCCCCCGTTGGTTATGTGACCGCCACCACATTTTGGCGTTCCCTTGAAACTGATAACTCACGAACTCAAAACCAAACCGTTCTACTATACCCATCTTCTGTAGTAGCTCATGACAGTCAACCAGAAAATCGTAAGCATCCTCAGATTCAGCACCCTTGAAGACTGGAGGTTTCAATTTCAAGAACATACGGAAAAGTTCATGCTGATCATTTGTCATTATAGGCCCAGTAGTCAGACGTGGAAACGTGCCTATGTCCAATGAGGCATCCATACGAGGAGCCATAGTGGCTGCATGTTGTACCTCTGAAACCGGGGGTGTTGGTGCAGAAAACACTGGAGGTGCCTGACCCTGATTAGACAACCCACTAAGATAAGCGAGCACCTGATTTATCATCTCTGGATAGGTTGGGGTGGCAATCCCTCATTCTGTACTTGTTCATTTTCCCCATCCTCCCCTTCTCTTATTACTTCCTCAGTCGGTGGAGGAGTCACTGCCCTAGTATCAGATGGGCTAGGTGCTCGTCCTCTTCCCCTAGAGAACGTCCTCCCACGACCTCTACCACGGCCTCTTGACGCTGCTCTTCCTCGAGCTACAGCCCCAGTGGCTAGCTCAGACGCACCCTGTCCCGCTGGTGCTGGTGTTGGTGTTGGAGTAGTCGTTGCTCTAGTTCTAACCATCTGCAAAAGAGAGTGAAGATGGTCAGAGACCAATTTGTATCACCTAGATACCAATTGGATTCAAGTAGTAGCACGAAAGAAAGAAAGAAAGAATGGAATTTTCCTAAAGTCTTATAGCTTCACAAAGAAAAGTAAAGGTGTCCCCCTACCATTCCTTAAGACTCTACTATACTTGTTCTTATGTGATGAGACAAACGAACCTAATGCTCTGATACCAAGTTTGTCACGACCCAAATCCGGGCCGTGACTGGCACCCACACTTACCCTCCAATGTGAGCGAACCAATCAATCTGATTTCTAACATTTCAATATAATATCAACAGTAAATAATGCGGAAGACTCAAACTCATTAACTAAAATCAATCCATTAACTTTTAAAATTCAACATATATTATTCCCCAAAATCTGGAAGTCATCATCACAAGAACATCTACTTCAAATTACTAAATCTAAGAGTTTATAAGAAGCTAAAAGTACATAAAGCTAGTCCATGCCGGAACTTCAAGGCATCAAGACATGAAGAGGAAGATCCAGTCCAAGCTAGAAGCATTAGCTCACCCTGATATCCGGA